TTTCGTCAATGATCTAACTATCTGCAGATCGGTAATCTATACGTTTAATAAATTTAACAGTTAAGCCGAGAACAATAATAATCCAATACATTCATTTAGTTCGTATTCTGGATTTTCACATTTGTTATTAATTTAATAAAAATTTTTTTACTATAGTAAATTATTTTTATACTATAGTATAATAAACATATACATATGTATAAAAATTTCAAAGCTGGAATAAATGAAAAAGCAATAAAAAAAAAAAAAAACATTTACACAAAAAAAGTCAAAATAAACTGTTTTATTTGAAAACAGAAAGATGTGAAACGAATTTATATTTAAAAATGAGAGTTCTATCTCATATATAAAAAAAGAATCATTTGCTTTAAAATCCGAGCTCTAGTGTAACTAGTAACTATAATATTTAAGATCTAGTAGTCAAATAGTGTCAAGGATTTGGCAGTAATTTTTTTTTTAAAAATTCAGTTCACTTATACGGTTTGCTTTTACCGTTTTATTTTTATTCTTATTCTTATCCAACAGGGCAACACATGTTATCAAAAAGTTTCTAGCGCATGTAACAGTATGCGAGTCTCTCGTCGCAGACTATATAAAATATTTTTAATTAAGGTCGGGTAGTTGTATACACAACTATTACACAAATTTCCAGTAAAAATGTTTCCAAAATTGTAATTTTGACGATCAGTATTATCTGGCCATTGATCGGGTTTATCTAGTTATGTATATATAATGTTGCTATATTTAGATACATATATATGTATACTTACATGCAAAGCCACTGTTGCGCTGTACTAATAATGTGCAAGTTTAACAATACATTTAACAAAAAATTAAAAATAATTTTCATTAAGCTGGAAATCAGCTCGCTATAACGTTAGAGTATCTGTGAACTGTTTCCTTACTTATAAGTTAAGTTGATCGACTGGGTGTGAAATCTATCGATATTAATGACATGCGTTGGTTTTGTAGAACATGCAAATTAGTATAACAATTGCCAAGGATATTTGAATTCAATAAATAAATAGAAGAAAAAAAAACTAACAACAGTTAAAAATATGGATATCTATATATATATATATATATCTTTTATTGGAAGATTATAGATAAGTCAAAAAAATAAATAAAAAATACATACATATATATGGTTTTAATTTATACAAGTTGCATACATGAATTGATTGAGCGTAACATGGAATAAAGAATAGTAATAATGAAAACATAAAAAATAAATGTCGTAATAGGAATACTCGCTAGTAAGAAATAACTATGGAAATATGCTAAGTATTTAAAATTATATTCATCACAATATATATAATATAATTTAATATTAATAGTAATTATACAAATAATAAAATAATACTAATGTTTCTCGGAAAATATTTTTTTCTTCATGAACAGTGAATAAATATCTAGAGAAAACTAGACTACAATTTTGTTGATTTAAAAATAGTTTCGTTGCCATATAATTGTAACATACATATACCATTTATATCTTATAATAATACAACGGAACAAAATTAATTAATTTTAATGAAGAGGAAACAGTTTGTTATACAACTTGTTATAATATTGAAAATTTGTACTTAATACATTTAAATTAAATATTCAAGCAATGAAAATTAATATTTAGATTACAATATAATATAATAAGGATAACAATGTTATGGCAAAAATAAAGCCTTATATTTTTAATTTCAAACTTTGGTTATTATTTTTATTAGATCAATATTTTATTAATAACCTATATAAATATTCTGTAAAAAATATAGTAGAATTCAAAACATTATGATTAGTTTTTAAAATCTACATACAATAATGTGGCAGTATTAAGAAAACCATTCAAGATGGTCGATCCCATTTTTTTTGGGGCAAAGTTATATATTATTGTAAATGTTGACAATATTGTATACTTAAAAATAATTATTTATGTTTGCAATTGAATGATTGATTAGAAAAAGATTAATATTCCAAAAATACGTAAAATAAACTGATATAGTCTTTTTTTAGCCAAGAAATAGATTCATATTATGAATGCATTAAGGATAATATTCCATTAAAATTTAATTTATAAATTTAGCTTTGAAGTTTACATTGAGTCGAAGAAAAATAATATTCCTGGAATGTTAATCTTCTTCTACTCACTCGTTGATAGACCATAAGTAGATGTATGCTTGACTCGTGAAGAGCTTAACATAAAAATGAAATCCTCAATACTTAACGAAGAGTGGCAAAAAGATTAGCGGTTGCAGAGTTATTAGTTCACAGGAGGTTAAAAATTTTATAATAAATTTAAGGAAGTGTCTGAGATATATAAAAACAAAAGTGATGTAATGGCTAAAACATTTAATTACATGAAACCCCCCCCCCTCCATTCATGCCAGTCCCGGAAATGTTTTTCCTACGTAAGTTATGGTTTTACGTATTTAATATTCATGGTATTGGAAAACAAAAATCTGTATTTTACACATATACCGAAGGAACTATCAAAAGGGGTCCATATGAAGTGTGTAACTTTCTTTTTGATTATTTCAACACGATACTTGAGAAAGTAAAGAAACTGCATGTATTTAATGACACTTGTGGTGGCCAAAATAGAAACTTCATGAATAATAGATTTTCCGATAACCATCAATATTTCCCAGTACGAGGATACATTTTTTTACCCTGTGACCGAAATTTTTCCGTAATAAAGAGATCAGTACGTAGATTTGATCGGATTTATGTAACTAGACAGTATGAAGATCCTATTAAAACTGCCAAAAAGCACTTACCAAAATAAAAAATAAAATCCGTAAAAAATGAAGATATATAAATGTTTCATATTTAGTGACTATAGTATTTTTAAAAAAATAATAAAAGATATACAAAAAAAAAAAAGGTGAAAAATTCAGCATAAACCAGTATAGGCATTTGGTGTACAGAAGTGAGCTAAAAGATTATGTGTTTGCTTTATACTACATTGAAGATCTTCAAAATATAGTTTTTAAATTCAATAAAGCCGAAAAAGACGTGATATTCTCGGAAGACAAGGTTTACTCGTAAAATGATTAAGTTGCAGTCAACCCCAAAATGATCAGGATTTATCAAAAGTGAGACAATATATTCCACAAGAATACCAGGGATTTTATGACGAAATCTTGGAATTACTAACTTCAAATTATAAAAATAGTAATGATGATAATAGTAGAAATTAAATTTGTAATTTTTTTTTACTTTTTTTTTTCTAGAACTGATGAAATTTAGTGTTAAATATTTTAATAATTAAACTAAGTGATTAAAAACAGTACTTTATAATATTCTAAATAAAATAAAAATCAATACTTAATGAATTGAGTGTTAAATATTTTTAAACATTTTTTTAGCCTGATATTTTTATAAATATTTAAGTCAGAAGATAAAAGATAACATTCCAGCTCATAAAATGTTTTTTATAAAAAAAGCTGTTGATTATAACGATCTCATATTTTTGGAGGATTTTAACCTAAGGTTAGATTAAGTGCTAGGTTGCTGTTAGGTTAAGTTAGGTGCTAACCTACCTAAGCTTAGATACTAAGTTATGTTTATTATACAGACAAGTTTTCGATTCAAATAAAAATTAAGAAAATACCTGTAAATAGTCAATGAATAAATTTTAATCAGCCGTTCAATTATAAAATCGATTATTTTTTCAAATGTAATCATCATATATTAAATGAAAAAAAATCTAGTATTTACGTTTATCGATTTTTTGTAAATAATTTTATTTTTTGAAATATTATATTATAATTAAACATATTATGTGTAATTTATGTTTATATACTCTGCACGCAAAATAGTACTCTGGTGTTTAAAGTTTCTTATTCGTCGTTAAAAAATAACGAAGTCAATATACGGATAGAACGTTTTGTTCATTTCAATGATTGTTCGGAATCTGTTTTACTCAATATGAATATTAATTAGACAAATATTAATTTAATATTATATTACACAAATTTTAAACTTCGGACGATCTGGAAATCGATAAACATTTGGCAAAATAAATATAATATTTACTGTTCGGCTTAGAGGGGAAAAGTTTTTCTATATGTCTTAATAATATATTACAATCAACACGGAAACTGCATACAGTAATTAATATTACTACAGCGCGGGTTTCTGTTGGTATTAATTACATAATATAAAAATATGTTATACACCGGGACATCTGTGAGTCGATGTTGAATAATTATTACTAAATCATTAATTTTACAACGGGTAATGCAACGCATGGTTTTGAAACATAAATTATGGAAACGACAAACCCGTTTGTCTGGATGTACTTTTCACTATACACGTATCGGCAACCTATCAGATTTGAACCGGAAGTGTACAGATATGTTCATAATATTCACGTGGTAAATCATATCATGAATATCCGTTTAAGTGTACGGATAGGTTGCATCCAAATTGGGTCCCAAATTTAAAATTACTTCACTAGTTGGGTCCCGAATTATTTTAGGTACTACATTAGTTGGGTCCCGGATTTTTATAGGTACTATACTAGTTGAGTCCTGAATTATTTTAGGTTTACATTAGTTTCTGAATATTTTTTAGTAAGCATTACATTATACTAACATTTTCCTTCCTATTTTAACAGATTTAGGACTGTCTATGATCTATTTAGACTACAGGACCACATTTTTTTAAATTCTATAATTTATGTAATAATATAAAGTATTATTAAGTAATAAAAGTATTAAAAATTAAATATTAGTAATATTAAGTAATACAAATATTATAATAATTAAAAATATTATATAGTAATATTAGTACAATTTTAATAATTTTAATATTTTTACCAACACAATTCTAATAATTTATATTTTAATGGAAAAAAAACTAAAAAAAAAAAAAAAACTATAAAAATATTTTTAACCATACCTGTGGTCTTAATAGATCATTGACAGTCCTAAGTCTGTTAAAATGGGAAGGAAAATGTTAGTATAATGTAGTACTTACCAAAAAATATTCAGAAACTAGTGTTATACCTAAAATAATTCAGGACCCAACTAGTGTAGTATCTATAAAAATCTGGGACCCAACTAGTACCTGTGATTAGCGCCTAGTACTCGGGACTCAACTCGGATGCTCCGTACGGATGATATATCAGTATATTATCACATTTTTATTCTTATTAGAAAATCGTTTCGTAGAAATAAATTCGAGTGCAAAATATAAGCAGCGATAGGTTAAGGAAGATAACGTTGAAATGAAAATAAAGTCAAATGATCTGAGTATAAAGCATAAATTTACTTTTAAGTACCTTGGAGTTACTCTGGATAGAACATAGATTTATAAGAGACTTTTGGGAAACAGCAAAAAAAAAAAAATTAATATTAGAAATAACATAATCACTAAGCTGACAGGTAGTAAATGAAGTGAAAATACTGAGACTTTGCGAACCTTGGTTTTGGCGTTGGTATTATCAACGATAGAGTATTTTGTGTCTGTTTCGCTAAAATGGAAAAAATTGACGTTCAGCTGAGTTAATGATGCATTGTTAATTAAATCTCCGAGTCTTTAAAATTAATTTCTCTTGCTTGGCTATCTATTATGGAAAATATTATCCCTAAAAGCTTAAAAATAAAGTAGACATTCGGGAAAGAATTGAAAAACTAACTAGAAAATCCTAGCATTCCATTTCGTTCAATTATTGACCTCCTCTATTTATGAGACTAAAATCGAGGAACCCTGCATGGAATAGAATTAAAAATATTTATTTATATAAGTTCAAAGTAGCAAATAAATCGATTGATTACTAAAGAGCCACCTAGAAATAACTATTTAATTCGTGATTCCAACAACCGACTGCCTGAACTCGATTTCCCCAGAAAACAATGGGTAGTTACTCCTGAACAGATTTTGATTTAGTTCCGGATGTTATCCATATTTTATGAGAAAATGGGGGTTAGGAACGTCAAGTAGTTGCCAAAGTGAAAATTCCAAAACAGACGATAGCACATATTGGAGAGAAATGCCCCTTGTATTCTTTCGAAGGAGTAATGGTTAATCTCCACAATTTAGAAGACGGAGCTTCGGAAAGATTGGTTAGGCTACCATTGAACTTATAACTCCATAAATTGTAAAAAGGAAGTCGTTATATTTAATTATTTATTACTACCTATTATCAATGTTATTATTACTGTTGTTTTTGTTGTTCTTACTTTTACTTTTGTTTTATTTTTGTCTTACATATACTTTATTGTGTGATAATGTTATAAATCTACTACATACAAGCCATACCCTAAATAAACAAAATAATTTGAAATGTACACATAATATGCACATATGTACACCACGTACGTTTTATAATATTATTCAGTTTGATTTTCCCCATGGAGGGGTAAGTGAACTTTACGCTTTAGTTTTGCGATAAGACGATGATACGCCGTAGCATTGGTAATACGTCTCCTCCTTTCTTTTTAACGGTTTGAAGACAACAACAACGATCGGTACGTGCACGATATAACAGACCATGGTTACGACCATAACTATTCAACGACGACGATGATAATAATAATAATAATGATATGGAAATCGTGATCGGCCCGTTTAGAATTTAAATTCTAACCAATGCAAAACACTCGTTTGACAGCGCAAATCGAACAAACACTTTGTTAAGTTACAGTATATTATTTTTATTATTTTTGTTATATTGTTGTTATTTTTATTATTGTTATACCGTTCTAACTCGTGCATTTCTTTGTGACGAAGAGTGGAACAGAACAGTGGAATGAAAATATGCGGAAATGTGATAGTCGAGCGTAACACACGGTGATCGATTTAGAATTTATATCCGGGTGAAAATTTTTATGGAAGAGATTGTGGAAAGCGAAGTACGATAAATTGGAAATGAATCGATACCTATACGGAGTATTTAACGATCGTAGATTATTTGTTGAAAACTATATTTAAAATTCATGCTATTATTGTTATTCTGGTTATAACTAGGATTGTACAGAAACAATATAGCGTAGAAACAGGTGTATAGGTAGTGGTAACTTATTTGCGGCTACATTAGAAGTTGTCTATCCGCTGTCCAAATCATAAGTTATTTAGGTCATATTCATTTGCGTTATGATTCGATCTTCCATGAGGTCCTTTTCATCGCAGGTGATTGGATATTTGTAGCATTTCAATATTAAATTATGATTGTTAATTGCGTTAAATTGTAAATTGATATATATATATATATATACATATTATGTACAGTATATTATAGTGCGTTGTTACCAAACACGATACATATAAATAAGCTCGGTTCATATGCGATGGTCGAATAATTGTGAGGCGGCAGCAGCTAGTGGCGACGAACTCTGAAAAATGTACAGTTGTCAAATATTTTTTTACATAAGGTATCACTACCGTTCACCAAAAATATCATAAGATGTAACATGTGTTAGGTGCGCGTGAGCTGTACTCTGTCGACTGCCGGTATAAGTATTCTTAAACATTGGACCACTTCATTCGCGAGACGTGGTTCTAACGTCACCAGCCAACGGGGTTTAACTCTATTGGTATGAGCTTTACACGAAGATGGTGGTGGTGATAGGTAGGATACAGAATTAAGTGATGGGGAAAAAAAATCAAATTTCTCATTCATCGACTGATAATGGATTAGGGCGGGTGAATTAGACAACTATGCAGTCCTCGCGACATTTCTCGGCGGTAGCTGCAGCGGTCTTGGGCCTGCCCGGGCCCGTCCGTCATGTCTGGTTGAACGTCATTTGGCTAGTGACGACCGAGTTGTGGCGACGGCACGATGTGCTGTTGACGTGCGTCAGGTTGATGTCCTGTGCGGTGGACTCGACGGCGGTGGTGACGGACCGGACGAATGGGCACCAGCAGAATAGGTACCGGTTGAAGTGCTTGCGGAACACGCCGCTGATGAAGTAGAGCGCAACCGGGTTCACGCACGAGTTAATAAAGCTCAGGCAGAAGCCGACGATACGGAACGCATGCCAGTAGTCATCGTATGCGTCCCGCGAGTACGGGTAAAAGTGGAACCACACCATGAACACGTGATACGGCAGGAAGCTGATCATGAAGATGATGACAAATGACAGCACCATCTTGGCCACCTTCTTGCGTGCACGGATCTGGCCCGACTGGCCGGTGTGTTGCAGTTCGCCCGGCATGTTGCGCGTGGACACCATAAGGTGGTGAGCCATCAGGAAGTAGAAGCATCCGATCACGCATAACGGCACCACGTAGTACGCGAGCACCTTGAATATGACCATTCCTTTCGCGTAGCCGCCGCCCAGTGACCTAGGAAATGGGTAGCAGTACTCGATTGTCATGTTCGTCGTCGGTATCGACTCGGTTGCTACGTGCGAGAACGTGGCTGCCGGTGTAGCCAGCACCACGGCCAGTATCCATATGGCCACGGCCGTGATCAACGTGAACGGTTTGGACGATACGTGACGCCGGATGGGGTTCACGATGGCACAGTACCTGTTCGGAAAAACAAATATTTGTTAATTTTATATTTTGTAAGTTTTAAACAGTTTTTTTCTTCAACTAGTTTTCGTTAAAACGAGTGCGTCTATTGTTAACGAATGCACTCGGGTAATAATGGTAATCGATTCCATCGATTGTTGAGTGCAATTAATAAATACAGTTTTGACGATTATCTCGACAATAGTACATACTGGGATTTCGAGTTTAAAGTATAATGTAGAATCAGGTTAGGTAAACTATCTTATTCGAAAAATGTTCTATAGAGCAAAAGTAAACTCCGGTGGGTCTTATCGACCTATTGAAAAACACCTATTGTCGATAGAGCGGATTTGGTAAAACCGGAATCTTATATTTGGTAATCAAGCCAAAACGTTTAAGTTTTAAAACGTTATCAGAATAAGAAATCTCATACGTCCTTTTTTTATCGGATTTGAGAAAAAAAATAAAAATTGACTCCCATTGCAGTTACGTATTAATATTGCCTATATGTTACGCCGTGTTATTAATTTCTAAAAGCAAATGAAAGAAAATCGGAAATCTAATTAGAATCTGATTTGTCATCTGATGAATCAAATATGTAATACTATTTTTACTTTCCATATTTTTACATACTTTATGGTTTTATATTTTAAATGAATATTTCAATAAAGTATTACTTTTTTTCAAAATAATTTAAATTAACGGATAGATAAATGATAAAATATCGATCTGTATAATTGTGTTAGTCCCAAATATTATCATATCGAACTTAAATTTGATCCATTTAAAAAACCATTCTGTAACGTAGTGTAACTCTCATATTGTAAATTAGAATAAAGGTACCTAATATTATAAAAATTAAATATATATTCTTAAATGATAATTAGTTTTTAGTTTTTTATACTAAAAGTCAAATAAATTTTACTCTGCATTTTTTAAGTATTTTCCTACATATTTTAAATGCATATCACAGTCATTTTAAGTACATAAGCATCCAAAGATTAATAATTATATATGTATTATGGTGGATGGGAGCAAAAAAGGAAGTGAGTTAAACGTGGTTACGTATGGGTATAACATTGTAAGTTAGAAAAAAACATTAAAATTAAAATAATTGCTTTGTATTTTTCCATTATAACATGGACACAAAATATTATATGTATTTTTTAATATTGTATAAAAAAAATATTATCTGTAAATATCTGTTTTATATATTATTGTATATATTAATTATAATACAAATTACTTGTACTTAAATTTTTAATACCATTGATTGTTTTTATTATATTGATTATGAATGGTGATTATTTCTTTTATCAGTATAGAAATAATGTTATCAGCAAATAGCAATACGACTGAATTTCAATAATTGTATTCATAGATTATTATTTTTTCTGTATAAAATAGGCTATATATTGATTATAACGGAAATTAAGATTTTCGAATGTAAAAAAAACGATAATTGATGTTCATAAACAAAAATTTAATGGATCGAAATAAAATATTTCATTAAGTATATAGGTCCTTCATATGAAATAACTTTATAACTCAATAATTTATTTATACAATAAATTCAAGGATAGGTTTTGGGAACGGTTATATATTTTTTTGAGTTGTTTTTAACATCATTTATGGACTTATTGACCCAAAACGTGTTTACTTTATCTTGTTACCTAATCAACATGGTTTTTTTCATTTCGAACAAAAGTATTTTTTTTGATTTTAGTTCTGCTATGTGCTTGCATTGATATGGAACCAGAAGACCGAAGGTCCATGCTCGTTGATATTAAAATTTAAAGTGTATTTCATTCCATTGTAAGATTTACCTGACATGGAACAATATTACATTGTGAAGTGAAAAAATATAAAATATAAAAATATAAAATTATTAAAATTTAGAATTTTAATAAAGTTTTGTAAAAATAAATTTACCTCAAAATAGTAACGGAGTATAATATTATACATAGTTTTTACATAAAACTGTGTCAAAAATATAGTTTTATTATTATTTTTTTTTTTTGAATATTATGTTATTTTATTTAAGATTCTTGTATTTATGAAAGGTGATGCATTGATTATCACCTAGTGATATTAAAAATTTTTATTGAGTATACGTTATGTTATTGCTCCGAAGTATCTCCCACTACGTTATAAATTGATGATCAAAATCAAAATCCGAAGATCGGGATCAATTTAGTGTTTTTATTTTATTTTAATTTATTTAATGCTTGACTGTGTATCAGTATTGTTCTTTAGTGATATCTTGATATTATTTTGTCATTGTTCCAATGCAACTATTATGATTAGTGAAGAGTTGTATGGATTACAGTTAATTTTAGGAATAAATAAATATATTTTTATAGCCATGATATGTTAATTGTTATGACATTTTCAGTGAAAATCGATAAATGGATTAAATTTTTAAAATCGGTAGTTTACTGTCTAAAAATATTTGGATATTTTACAGGCTTTGATGATTCCTATTTTTAATTACGTGATCTTACTGATAATTTGATTTAAAAATACGATTTTTGTAATATTTAGTTAATACAGAGATAATTATTTACATAAAAAGAAAACCTTGATTTGTAAAAATAAATGGGAATTTAACCACAGGGAAAAAACATTAAAATGAGAGCCGTCGTTGGAACTTTTTTAACATTACTGTTTTCTGGTATTATTTTATAGTATTTCTATAGCGATACTAACTGTAATGCTACACTTCTTTACTATGTAATTCAGATCTTGCATTCAAATTGAGTTATTAAATATTCAAAGAGAAATCTTATCATTTCGGTATTCAAATACGATGTGTACAGTTAACGGGACTTGTGTAGAAAAAATGACCTTAAATGAAATTATTCCAACCACCCGAAATAAATTTGCATGCATGCCTAAAAACTACACTTGAAAATATTGAATTACAAATTACGAACGAATTTGAAAAAAATAATGAAATTTTAAATGCAAATGCAAATTTTCATAAATTGCTCTGATAGCTGTATTATTGTATACAACAGCTTCTGAGAAAAAAGCGAATGAAAGTAATCGCTAGAAATGACGTATATTAAATTTGACCGTACTTATCATCGCTATTATTTCGGTTAATAATAATATTTTCATAGTGTTAATGAAGATGCATTGTTACTATTTATATAAATATCATACTTGATTACATATACATATTACGTTTGTGTTAATGATAATATATTAATATTTTTCGTAATAATCAAATGTTAAATTTGTAATGTAAGAGAAAATAAGTAATATTGTTTTGAATTTTAAATATGAACAATTTTAAATAGTTGATATGACAAAGAATACATTTTTTATAAACCATTGGTGCCCAATCCATGGTCCGCTGGCTATATGTGACCCTCGAAGGTATTTTATGTGGCCCTTTATAAATTTTTAAAATAAAATAAAATATTAAAAAAAAAAAAGGAAAATTATCAGAAAATACAATTTTTTAATTTTATTTTTGGACACTTTCAATTATAAATTTTACGACGATGTGATCCTTGGACTTAATATGTATCCGCAGTGTGCACCTCAATCTATAATCTTTTCAATACTCAATAAAATATATGAAAACAAGTCCAATATGTTTCTTCATGTATATTATGTACCTAGTACTTATGTGAAACAAAATTATGTTATTAGATTAATATTATATTATTCGTACTATTATAATTGATAGCTCTTTCGAAGATAATTGTTTATAATTGTTTGCCGAAAGAGGAAAACAGTAATATATCACTTGTTAAAAAAGCCTTTTCAACTAAAAGTAGTTGTTGCGTATCTAAACTTTTGTTCATCAATTCATACAAGATTTAAATTGTTCATAAGAACTAAAAACTTGAAGTTCTATGTTAAAAATAAAATAAAAAATATAAATAAAACAATTTAAATAAAACAATTTAAAACAAAGTTTTAAATTAAAGTTGTTATTTTTTATTTAAGCATATATATTAACAGAGTTTAAATTTTATAATATTATAATATTCATTAATAAAAAATAATTGAAATTAAATCGATTGTTTGTAAGCCAACTATTACTTTACTGTGTTTTGTTGTTCAACAATGTGTATATTGATTGGTTGAATAATAGGTTGATTTTAATTAATTTCAGCTAATTTTCGGTTGTGAAAAAAACGTTATGTTATTAAATAAATGTTATACTTGATTTATCATGAAAATTAAAAAAAAAAAAGTAAGATTTTATTAAAACTGTTACTGTGAAATTATTTTACATTGGAATTGATTTAATCATAGATATTTTGAATTATAAATTAATTAGACCCGAAAATCGTAAGTTATCTAGCAGAAAATTTCTATGGAATAATTATTCTTAATATATATATTAATATATATTCTTCTGTATGTCAAAAGGTGATATAATATTTCAAACATGTAATGTGATTTATACTGCGAAACTTTAAAAAATAATTTGATTATTTCAAAGACAGAAATTGTAATAACAAATAATTGACAAATTCTGAGAGATGAATTTCTTAATTAATTGCGAGTTAAAAAAGCTTATTTTTTAATCAAAATTGCAAAAACCGGAAACGTAAGACTAAATATCAGTAAAATCTGTAGAAATATATTTTAGTTTATCAACATTAGCCAAATTAAGTAAGATAAATTGATATGAATTAAAAACGTTACTAATTCATTGACATGGATAAAATATATTAAAATTTCAAATGTATTGGTATTTAATGAATGTGAAAAAATACTAAGAAGTGCAAATAGTCCCGGTTTGTACTTCGCACGACACGTACGTCTCATTTGTATTTCATTAAAATGCGCTAGCGTTTTCGTTCTTCGCAACCGATTTTATAAAAACTAATACGCAAACACTGAATAAAATCAAATCTGTAAATACGCCGATGCTTGTGCTTTTAATAAATTAAGTTTTAACGTTATTAACGTAATTAATAAGTGCCATAACAAGTCGTCGCGTTATCGCTGTCTCGCGTATCGCTGCCTCGAGCAGCGACACTTGATCTTTACTCTCAAGCACTATGACGAAAAATAAGAATACTTATAATGCTTTACCGAACGGAACAGGTATAAATAATTCTAGTTCTATTCTAGTCAAATCAAAACCACTATACAGACAGCTTACCCTGGCAATTCGACCACCAATAATGACTCGGTATTTAATTTCGATTCTTCAAATGATGGCTGGACAATAAAAACCAACAAAAGGAATTTGTTAACTTTCTCCAATCAGAGCTCTTTGGATCTCTCTCCAAATTTAAATAAGAGTAAGAATAAAAAAAAGTTATTCGTAACTGCAAATCGCTTCAATGTATTAACACCAAACAATGTTGATAAAGTTCCCCCTGATAACTCCATAGATGTAAATCCAATTATCATTATAAACCAAATCAAACCTCCCCCTCCAATTTTCGTGAAAGGAATAATAAATTTCTCAGACCTATGCTCTTCTTTAATAGAGCTAATTGGGGCAGATAACTTTTTCTGCAAGTCCTTGTCAGAATGCCTAAAAATTTAAACTGCTAATCCAGTATCCTATTCTAATCTACAGTCCTCCTAGGTACAATTTATCTAATGCAGATTTATCCAACTACTTTAACACTATGCACACAAATTTTATAATAGGCGGTGGCTACAATTCCAAACACCAGAGCTGGGGATGCCATATAACTAACCCTCACGGCAACCTACTTTATAACCTGGTTAATATAAATAAATATAAAATTCTTTCTCCCCCTGAGCCAACCTACTGGCCTACTTCCTTAAGGAAAAAACCAGATATTTTAGATATACGAATATTTGTTGCAAAAATTCCTTATCATTTATATTGTACGGTAAACAATTGTCTTGATTTAAACTCTGATCATTCGTTCGTTATCTTAATTATCAATGCTTCATCACATTCACTCAACGATAGACCTTCTCTTTTTTCACCGATGATTGATCGTCATAAATTTCATAATATCGTAAATCAAAACATAAATCTAAAAATTAAGCTAAAATCGGAACATGACATCGATGAGGCAGTTAATAACCTGATCACCTTCATCCACTCGGCGGCTAGCTTATCGAACACCATAAGTAACTCAAAGACCTTTTATTACAATTACCCATTTCTTTCTGAACAAGTGTGTTCACTAACTGTTGAAAAGCGAAGAGCGAGATCACTCTATCAATCCACACGGCTTTCTTCTCATAAAATCTCATATAATAGACTAGCTAACTATTTAAAAAAGACTTTGGCTAAGCTAAAAGATAATATCTTCGAACAAAAATTAGCAAGTCTTTCTTCGTTAGATGGTAGTTTATGGAAAGAAACAAAAAAAAAAAAAAAAAAAAAAATACTTCAATATAAAACTCCTTCAATCCCATTAATTAAAACTGATAATTCATATACCTTTTTAGACTTCGATAAATCTGAATTATTTAAAACTCATCTACATGAAACGTTCCAATTATATCATGACATATTCATACCTTAACAGATTAATGAGGTTACTACTTTTCTAAACATTCCTCTTCCTATTTGTCCTCTAGAAAAATTCTTTACCACTAATGAAATTAAACAAACAATACAAAAATATTCACTAAGAAAAACTCTTGGCTTTGATCTCGTTATGGCCGAAGTGGCGAGATGCCTTCCCAAAAAAGCCATAGTTCTTATAACCTATATATTTAACGCTGTTCTCAGATTGTCTTATTTTCCAATCTTATGGAAATTCTCTAAGATAATTCTTTTCCCTAAGCTTGACAAACCTCTTGACTCTTCTACTTTATTCAGACCTATTAGCCTCTTGCCCTTCCTCTCAAAAATTCTGGAAAGGCTTATCTTAAAACACTAATTATCGCATATTACCTCCAACAACATACTCCCAAATATTCAGTTTGGGTGCCGCAACTCTCATAGCACGATACATCAAGTTCACCAAGTTGTTGATGCTATCTCTACATCTCTAGAAAAAAAACTTTATTGCTCTTGCGTTTACTTAGATGTATCACAAGCCTTCGATCGTGTCTGGCATGAAGGCTGCAAATTGCAAATTCATACTAAAAAAATTTCTCCCCTTTGCCTTATTCCTATTGATTAAATCATATTTAACTGATAGATACTTTCAAGTACAATTTAATTCATCAACATCAGGTATTGCACCAATTAAAGTGGGTGTACCACAAGGCAGCATACTTTCCCCCTTCCTCTTTAACATTTATGTAGCTGATCAACCTTCCATGCAACAAACCATCGTAGCTGATTACGTTGACGATAAAGTTATTTTATCCGTAAATGAAAATCCCTTAACTGCCTCATTAAATTTGCAATTACATCTTAATCTTCTGTCTGATTGGTATGCAAAATGACGAGTTAAGATTAACCAAAATAAATCACAGCACACAACATTTATACTCAAACAAGGAATATGCTTAAACATTACCCTTAACAATGTACCAATTCCCACTTCCGACACAGTCAAATACTTAGGATTAATCCTTGACAAGAAATTGACATGGAATATATACCTACAGACCAAAAGGCTAACCTTAAATAATTGTTTGCGTATGCTTAGACCTCTTTTAACTAAAAATAAGTACTCCACTCTAAATACCAAACTATTAATCTATAAATCTCTTCTTAAACCTATCTGAACGTATGGACTTCAACTTTGGGAGGCGGCAAAAAAATCCAACACTAATCTAATCCAAACATTCCAAAATATATCTTTCCGACGTTTATAAAATACACCACCATATATCTTGAACCAAACTCTGCATAACGATCTCCATATTTAATCAATAGAAGAAGAAGTATGTATTTTTACACTCGTTTCTACAAACGACTTCATTCACACCCTAACCTTCTCATAAATGATCTTTCTATCCTTACATTACCAGGAAATCCTAACCGCAGACTAAAAAGGAAGTAGTGCCGCGACTTATTATAAAACTTTAATGTTTGACATCTGTCAAAAAAAAAAAAAAATAGTGTAATTATAACAAAAATTAATTAAATTAATTAAAATAATTAATCAATTAGTCAAGAGTCACTAATGGGTGGCTGCTTAAATCACACCTGTCATGTTATCATTATATTCTTATCATATAAGCCTATTGTGCATAAATTGTATAGATTGTTTATTTCAAATAAAAAAAAAAAAAAAAAAAAAAAGAGTGCAAATAAATTGTTTTTTTAATTAAATGTCGTCGGCACCGTAGACTTATTAACACGAGTCCATCAGTTGGTGCATCCACTTCTATTCACGAATCAAAGAACACGACCGTCCCACAACCGTTCTGATCCCGTTTACGATGCGTTCCAACCCTTAGACCATTACCGTACTGCGGGACGTAATACGATTGTGAAGCATAGCAATTGGACTCGATGTCACCTTGGTGCATTGCTTGAAACGGCCGTTGCCCGTCCTTTGGTACACATTACGATGCACGCGTAACAGGGGCTTTGGCCGGGTGCATATGGAATCGCAGGTGACCCAGCATAGCGTAGGGCAACGCAGCGCAGGAAATACTGTGTGATCTATATGAGCGCATATTACTACCTACGCAATTCTGTGCTACCGTTTACTTAGTTATGGGTGAAATTATAATAGAAAATTTAATAAATTTAAGTTCTGAATCAGTTTTTGACGGATACGATTTGATGAACTTTTTTTATTATATTCGTTAAATACACGTTAAAAAATTGTGGAAAAGTAATTTTTTAATTTTGTCTTTATATAGTTGACATCAATAGTGTCATGTAAGATAATGTAATGTCGGACGGTTTCAATCACAAACTCTTCTCTAATAAAATTAAAATAAAAAATAAAATATTAAATTAAAATTAAAAAGGTGGAAATTATGTTAAGCTAGTGTAATTGGAAATTATTCCAAGCGCGTGTGATATGTGTGCACGGTCAGTTATTTTAAAGATCAGACCGGACTACAAATTTTATTAGAGGACCGAAGTCGGACCGGACCACACTTAAACGTTAAATAAAGACCAAAACTGGACCAAACCGACGGCTTCATATTATTTTTGGATCGGACAGGACCAGTAATTAAATAACATTTAATAAAGTAGTTCGTAGACCGGACTGTCGGTCCGATCTTAAAACATTTTGGACCGTCTATGGTCCTTTACGTAAGGTTCAGTCTGTATTAGTCCAGACCGTACCATATGATGCGTTTAGTATTACATTGGACCGGACTACCCCACTTGATAAATAAATATATACCTAAAGTTGTAGGTTTTTTCATTTTATTTGTTTACATAACAATACCTGTACGAAATATCTGTATTTAGATTTTAAGTACCATGATTTGAACCGGCTGGACTGATTTTCATTTATTTTTTTGAAACCGGACCGGACTGAAAATAATGCATTTGATCTGAGGACTGGACCGAACTACTCCTACAAATTATTGAACCATACCAAACCGACGATTCAATAATTTTTGTATTTTAGGATCGTATTAGACCGGACTATGCAGAGCCTCAGTGTGCAGTAAACTGTGTCGATGACTTGCGTGATGCAAGAGGACACATGCACAGTTCTGCTCTGTCCTGCCCTACCACACAATATATATACAGAAAACTATGCTGCGCTGCGTCACTAAGTCTTAATGTGCGTCCGGTCTTTGGGCCCGCAACGGCCAACTGCTACGTTTCACGCACCGATTGCGCTGTCGCAGTTCTGTGTTCAATGCGTTCAGGTTTCCATCCCCTTCTCCCCCTCCCATGAACCAATAAAAAACTGACGATTCAACGGGCCCGACTGGACCCGAAGTGATCCGACTCACCTCTCAGCGCTGAGCGCGGTCAGCGTGAACACGGACACGCCGATGGACACGTCTTTGGTGGCTTCGCTGAGTTTGCAAATGAGCTCGCCGTACGGCCACGACTCGACCGTGTACACGGTGGATGTGAACGGCACGCACGTGATGATCACCAGCAGGTCGCCTAGCGCCAGGCTCAGTATGTACGTGTTGGGCACGTTGCGCATGCTCCGGTGCCGGATGAACACCAGCACGAGCGTGCCATTGCCGAGAACGCCCACGACGAATATCATAGCGAACACCACGGGCACGATGTACGTCTCCGGCCGGTTCGAGTACGGCACGTACTCGTTGTCGTCGAACGCATCGGCCACCGCTTCCGCCGCCGCCGCCGCCGCCGCCGTCGTTGACACGTTCATCGGTGGTTAGTCGTTACCCGTCGGCTCTCCCGTGCGCGGCTACTGAACCGCAGCTGTAAAACAAACGGCCGAATAAGTGTCGGTGTTCGTCGGTATCGCCGCCCGACAACAAACGTTCCGGTGTGATAAACGAATTCACGAATTTACGGAACCCATTTATCTCTACCAGATCACAACGAGACTGTGTTGGAAATATTAAATCTATTCGGTAAAAACAAAAAAAAAAAAAAAAACACAAATCGACGAATCAAATATTCCGAGGAGAATATCAAACGCTCCACGGTTGGTTTGCGACGAGGACATTTACAAAGACAGTTCCGTAATAGCTGAGTTTATAAAAAGATTAGTTTACAATTATTCCAAAGACTTGAATTCCGCTGGTAGTACGCAGTTTCGTCTAAAAAATGCTACGACAGAAGCGGATTGGCTTGCCGGAACTTCTTCTTTAACTTTAAATATTCAATATCAGATTAATTTTATAATAATTAATTAAATAATATTATTTCATTAATTTATTTCTATGGAAGAGGATCAGAGTTCTTCCACGGTTCCTCTGTCAGTCGTAAGAAGCCACTTGATTAGGCTGCGTCAGGTTGATAGCCGGTGTAAAAATTTTGTCAAAGAGTATGGAGGAGTCAGAAACAAAACTTAGGTGGTTTATTGAATAAACGTAACGTGGGGACGAAAAGTGAGTGGAAATATCATAGTTAGAGGTGGAGGAGATCTAGATGATGAAGTGTGTGATACAAGCTGGACAGGAAGTGTGATAGCTGATTCATCAGTAAAATGTTTAGATCTACCCAACGATGTAGGGACATAGAGTATGACTTTGGAGGAAGTTACCAAAGTGTTGAGGATATGAGGAGACCTATGACAATTAGCGGTGATATGATAGGTGAAGTCGAGAACTTTAAAAATTTAGTATCATTTGCACAAGCGAGTGCTTTGGCATGGATGAATAACATAGAATTAAGTGCAGTTGGATGAAATTGAGAGAAGCGTATGGCGTTTTATGTGAAATTTTTTAGGAGTGTAATGAGATCAACTATGCTATATGGTTCGTAGTGTTGGATGATTGATAGGAGAATAGAACAGAGTATGAGTGTTGTGAAAATGAGAATGCTTAGATGAATGAGTGGAGTGACAAGAGAAGATAGAATAAAGAACGAATATGTGAGAGGTAGTATTAGTGTAGCGTGGATAGTGGACAAGATGAGAGAAAATAGATTGAGATGATTTGGGCACGTGATAAAGCGAGAGGAAACAAAAGCGGATATGAAAATGAACGTTGAAGAGAAAAGAGGAAGAAGAAGATAAAAAAAAAAGATGGTTGGATACGATTGAAAACTATGAGAGCTGTTGGTGTGTGCATAGGTGATGTAGAAAATCAAGACGAGTGGTGGTTTTGAACAAATGTGGCCGACCCCAAATAGTTGGAAGAAAGGTAACGGAAAAGTAGATTATTTAATTAATTTGTATGGTACTAATAAATGCACTAAAGCACTGTTTATGTTGTTATTTATATTAATTAGTATTATTTTAAATATTTTTGTTATTAATTTAATTGGTATCTTTTTCTATCTATATTATCTATGACTTCTTACATTAAAAGTCTCGTTATATAAAATTACAGCAACTTATAGCATTTTTTTTTAAAGTAATTTTATTAATTAAATAATTTTTCTTAAAGCAGTTTTTCGTGAACACATCATTTAATATACGGTATAATAACGCACATTAGTCGTTCAATGACCATATCAACACTGACATTTTCACCGATGGTGTAACTTTCAGGAAACTCTTGGGTAAGAAGGAGAGGGTAGGGTTGCTAATTTTAGAGGTAATAAGTTTAAAATATAGTATGAGGCTTCCGAAGTAATCATATTTTAGAATTGTATATTGTTCATTTTGCGGACTCAAATAATTTTCTATCATTTTCAGGTGGCACAGGGGCACGTTAACTTTTCTAATACCGTTTAAGGGAAACCAATACATAATATTATAATATTATTATTTATTTTATTTTTATTTTTACTTATATTAATATTGGCATACAGTATATTTAACATATATTATAAAGTAATAATAATTATATTTTACTACTTAAAAGCTTAAAATATTTAACATTGTTATGTTAAAAAATTTAATTTCATATAAAAACAAAAAAAACTTTATCAAAAATGTATGTTAAAATCAACACAATTTTACATGAGTTACGAATATTTTCATACTTAACTTTTCATTGAATATAAATAATAATATAGTGTTGTAGAATTGAATGACAACGTATGTATAACATATAAACTAAATTAAATCACTCAAAATAATCCTTCTCAATTTTTGTTGTTGAATTTGCGATAATGTGGTTATTATCCCGATTTAATATTAATGATTTAGTATTCCTTAAAGTCTTGTTGCTATTTACTCTAAAAAATCTTTAAATACAAATCATTTTTTCAATATAGTTTTTTTTTTGTTAATGATGATAGAACAAATTTATTTACAAATTTAATTAATTTTACTAAAAATTATAGATGAAACTAAAAAAAAAAAAAAAAAGAAGTAGAAAATGATTTTGAAGTTAAAATATTTATTGATTTCAATTAATAAACAATTATTTCCGTCATAATAAAAATATAATTATAATATAATTGCATGAATTGAGCATTGATTTTTTTATGGAACACTATAATAATTATTTAAAATAATTCATTGATGAGAAATATAATATATATGATATAATAATATGAGCGATTCTACAATTACAGAATATTTACATTGCCCAATTACTGCCGTGTATGAGATACGAGAAATTAATGAGCTTATACACAGTAATATGAGATATTATATATAACATATATCTTATATATATCTTTATATATACATAATTATAGCTTGTGTACTTTTTGAGTACATTTAATTATTATTATTTTGCCTAGGTGACAAAGTGTTTTAGTAAATTTTGCTATTGAATAACATAATTTATTAACAGTAAGGTGTGATATTTTTAAGATGAAAAAATATGATAAAAAAAAAGGGTCTTCGTATTTTTTTGGTTTTTCAATTTTTTACTCCGATTATTACTTTTATTACTCCGTCATACATAGAGAAATTTATTTGCTATTTATAAATTTATTGTTTTAGTCTTTTTTGTTATTGACCGAAATTGCGTATTTTGTTTCATTTTACATAAACAGTTGCACATCATACATTTCTTACTATTTTTTTTTTATACATATCATTCACAATACATGTCATATTTAAAAATTTCCTTTGGTAAAATTTATGATTTCTATAATACTCGTATGAATATTGATATTAGGGTTAAAATAGCTATGCAATCGATAATATAGCAGCGTATAAGACGTTAATATCTGACAATCTAACTATTGGAATAATTAAATAAACACCATGGACTACTTAATTTTTAAAACTGTTGACTTTTTTTGATAATGAAATGTTGAATGTTAAATTTTGCATTATTTGTAAGGGTATACTCGATGGTATTGTAGAACTTGGTGTTAAACCAATAAAATTATTTTACGATGGAATTTGAGAACCAAATATTTGTGTGCTTATGTGTATGATGACGTAAGAAAGATAGAGATTTAGAGAGTTAAAGTGAGAAGGAGATAGATAATATATATATTTATTTTAAATCAGTATCAAAAGCTATTAAAATAGTTTAATGTCATTTTTTCACAGTTCAAAAAAATAAAATACATTGTTTTTATGTACCGAGTGTTAAAAATTAAATTAATATGGGGAACAAATTTTTATTTATTTTAAAAGAACATTAACTCCATTATATTTAATCAACAATAAGATCAAAAATCCAGGACAAAAATTTTAATTTGCATAGATAACATTCAAAATGTTAGCTGTTTAAATAGATAAAACAACCATAATTGTAATTAAACTTGTACAATTTGAAAATTATACGAGTACAATGGTTTCATCATCATATGCGTTCCTCGAGTCGAATCATTTTATATCCATCATGTCGCATTTTAATGCGATGTACAATAAGACGGAATAAGGAAGCTGCATTTACGCTTTAATATTTATTTTTTCAATTACAATAATTGTTGAGGCACGATGTATGTGACGGGAGAAAACGATCTATCCATTTATATTATTTGTAGTCGATAGAAATATTGCTCGCTGTAAAAATATAAATTATAGACGTGTTCGCGTGAAATATGAAATTAACGTTTCGGTGAGTAGCAGGAATTATGGTCGAAACGGCCATACACAGTTTACGCGACGAAGTTACCAACAGACCGTTCTATGACGTTGAAATCACGCGTATCTCAGTGGTGGGTGCACGCGGCGGAACGTGTGACGTGACGCTAACTGATGATGCTGGTTTTGTTGTTAAACTTTCGGGATCGTGCGATAAGTCATCCGAAGGACCGAAATTACGTTTCAGACGCGTTCGACGGCGACGTTGGCTCGCCGAGTGATTGAGACGACGGGTATATGCGCGGCTAAAGGGAGATAACATAAGTCATCGTCGCGCGAGCGAAACAATTAGATTCCGGGCGCTGCCATCGGACTCGCGTGCTGGCAACCACGCTCGCGGACCGAACAAATGGCACGGACGTGAACTCGAAGACTCCGTCGACCGAAGGGTTCGGGGGTCGGGGTGGCTTCGGTGAGGCGTGACGACCGCATGAATCTCGGGGTGTCGTCGAGAACAATACATTACATGCAAAGGTGGAACTAGGAATTTTTACGCCCGGGTAAAATGTTAAAATTACGTCCTATAATATTTACCAATAATTGAATATTCTTCTTGAGAATTTTTTTCTAATAATTAATGTACAATCATACTTATTGAGTTTTGACATAATAACAGTATAAAAAAAAAAAAATAAAAAAAAAATTAAAAATATCAAATTAGTTGTTAACAATTACAAAAATTCACCCTCTAAAATTTTACGCCCGGGGATGAATCATCATCTTCCAACCCCTATTTCCGCCGCTGAATACACATATAACGGTATATATTCGTATATGGATTATAACTAAAGACCGGATTTAATAGATA